CTCGCGCGCATTTCTGCACGTTCACCATCCCTTTCTACTGACAATTTTTCTCTACACCAACTTGCTTTTCGACTTTCAGTCTCACATCGCGCAGCCGGACTGCATCCGTGATTGCACAAATTTTTTGTCAGCATGCTCGTCAAGTCATCCAAGCTAGTCTTTCTCGGACTCTTTGTTGCACTCCTCGGGCCCAAACAAATCTTAGCCTTGCCCCCTCTTCGCATACCAAGCGCAAAGGGCGCACAGGAGATGCCTCCTATCCATCCACTCAACATCTCTCCACCAGGCAAGCGTCCCGCGCAAGAGAAATTTGACGACTCGTCGCTCCTGGAGCAGCTTGCGGTACGTACATGTGACTGAACAGCCTTGCTCTGTTGATCCTGATGGCTGCTCGACTTGTGCGCCGCCCATGCCTGGATGGATAGGCATTGCCCCCAATCAAGACGAGGTGAGCGGCACGACGGGCAGAGGTATGGCCTTTCTTTCCAACGAAAACGCTCACTCTCGCGCGCCCCGTCAGAGTGGAGAAGTCCAGTCTCGACACACTGACACCCACAACCAAGAAGGCTGGTGAGCCCTCGCTTCATGATGGCAAACCCAATGCTCATGCTGACATTTGCCTGCCTATCGTCGCAAGCGGACGCGCTGTACAACCGTTATAAATCGGCCGTAGCTCGTGCAAGAAGGTCCCTGTACCCACTGAACAAATTCGCAGTCAAGCCTGAACGCATGAACAGTTTTCACAAGTGGCTCGTGAATTCTAGTTCTATGCAACCCTTGGGCGATGGGGTCGCTGTGACCAATCGTGCCGGACAAGCGAGCACGTCTGCGACTCGCGTGGAACATGGAACGGGAGCGCCAGTGCTTCGTCAAAAGCATGGCGAGGTGATCCGGCTTGCTGGAAAGAAGAACGTCCCTACTCCTGGTGGAGTCAGTGTGAATGTGAGAGGATGGCATCGAGGTAGAACGCCTGCGGGTGTACCCGACCTGCTTTGAATCCTGACTCTCCATCCGTGCTTGTTCCTGCTCCACTCTCGGTGGACTACCCACGCATAGGGCATCACAAATGCTGAATGGTTCATTGGCAAGCAGTAGAAGCCGTGATGCAGCAGCTTTCGCTGCTCATGCGCCAACAAAATGACAATATGCCCTTTCGTCTCAATTGAGAATTAAATCGCATGCATTCACATCCTCCTTTTACATCTCCTAAGCGCACAAACTGACATCCAACTCTGTTTGATTGTGTTCATCAATGTCATTTCTGAATGAGTACGTGCTTCACTCGTAACGCGTGTCGACACGTCGCTTGGCGTGATGGACTTGGTCGCCTTTGGACGTTACATGCTGTCTGAAGGCTCCAGCGTGGCCTTCTGTAGAGACATTCGACGATCGAACATCGTCAAGGCGTCTCTTTGCCATGGTGAATGCGGGTCTCGGAGGTTTGAAACCGGTATGCTTCATCGGTGTCTCCGTTTGATCAGCCTTGAGTACGTTCGACAAGCTATCGACCTCTGCTTTGTAGGGATATCCCATGGTCAATGCTCCAAAACCAGGCTCTCGATGTATAGGAGACAAGGACCTCGGCACCCTGAACCAAGTCTCGTGGATCTCGTGATTCTTTTTTGAGCGCGTTTTTCCCAGATACTCCGAGTAGCCAGGCGTGTCGAAGGGAGGCTCGACCTCTTTAGAGGGTGAGGACGATTTAAAGCTAGAAGTCGACGTCAGACTTTTGAGACCGCCTGAAATTTCGTTGTCCCGATAAGTGACGAGCGATCCTGGTAAAGAGGCTCGCTGTGCGTGCACCAAGTCTTGATCAGGAGACGTGGTGCCAAGAGATATTCTCACAAATGCTTTACTCACTCTTGGTGCATACCTCTCGTGCCCATCCATCGGTCCACTATTTGGCACGCTTAGACTTTGCGTCCTACGAGGCGGCTCAGGCAACGGAGGCGCGTCTTGGGAACCAAAATGATGATGATTTCCATTCGAGTCGATAAAGGTGACTTGGGCCTCATTTCTGAGCCCAGCTTTGCTATATCAGCATGTCTTTGCACAGACAGCATAAGGATCAAGGTCGACGTACAAAAATTTGGCGCCTGCGCCGTGAGATGGCACAACGTGATTCTGATGAAGAAATGCAGATGGATGAGCAAATGTTGAAATAGCGACTTCAAGTGTACTTGCTTACCAAGCTGCTGGCTC